GGCCTTGTTAGAGCTACTGACTCAGCCTCAGAACCAATCCCAACACCTGTCTTGGCTTCGGGACCCCCCCCACCCCCGCTCATCCACATCTTCCTTATTCTCTCATCTCCTGTCACTTCTCAGTTTTCTCACAGCCCTCCATTCTGAGCCTCTCAGAGCAAAGCCATTCCTCCTATAAGAGGTTCTTCCTCCAAATCTCTTTACCCCACCCTCCAAAAAGATGCTGGGGCTCTCTAGGCAGAGACAACAAAGGCTTCTCTCATTCCTAGCCTCCCTGGGCTCTAGCTTACAAGGTCTGAGGGGTAAAGAGAGGTACCAGTTGGTAGAGATGGCTGGGCTGCTACCATTAAGCCCATGACTGGGGTCTGGGATTCTACACTTCTCTTCATCCAAACACCTGTGGAGCACCATTTCTTCTCACCTCTTGGGCCATCTTTGCTGCCTGCATATTTCTCCGGTAGAAAATCTCTTTGTAGCTATCCATCCAGACCTCAGCCAGGCGCACTTGGTTGCGAGCAATGACATTGGTGCCTTTGGGAAAGGTGTGGGGGCTCCTGGTGCGGAACACGTGGCCTACCACAGAGCAGGGGATGATCTCTAGTTGGCCCCCACACTGCCACACCTGCCAAAGAAAGATACGAGATGGGACCTTCAGGAGGCTGGGTGTGACAATCTCCTCCCAAGCAGCTCTGTTCTATTCCCAGAGCACCAGACCCCAGATCTAAGAACTCAAGGAAATGCTGCTCTCTTTCCTGGAAATTAAGAACATTGACCAGGCTTCTTCTAGATCATGACTACACAATCCCTAGCTGTCTGATGTTGGTTCACTCTAATTTAAGCAAACAGAAATTTGCAGGGTTACCTGAGGATTACCAGGGCCCACTTTAGAGAAAAGACAGTTTGGCTAACTTTGTGTCTGTATATATACTTCAAACTCTGGTCTTTCGGCTTTTTAACCTGGAAGTGTGATTTTATCAGCTCATCTAGTGTTACTGGAAACTCGAGCTCCCTCAAATCAAGATAGACTTGTGACCCAATCAGAGCACCAGTGCATTATAATTATAGCAAGCATAGTCAACTGCCAGGTGGCCTGTGATAGTCACCAGGACCTTTAACACACTAGCTTCCTAGGAGAGGGACTGAACAGAGATCAGAGTCTCTTGAATGGGCCTAGCATCAGAACACTGGGAGTTACGGTGACTGAGCTGGTGACCCTTATGTATGCCAGTAGGCTAGTGTAAGCCCACGGGTTTAAACCTTCCCACCTGTGTCTTCTCTTTTTTACGTTTTAAATTAGGAAGCATATCATTCATTTTAGCATAGCAGCAACAGAAATACATAATCATAGTAACAGCAGGTCTTGAAGACGTGCTTAAGATGTGACAGGCATGATGAGAGGTGACTTCATAAACAAGCTCATTTATTTACTAATTACCTCTCCACTGGCATGGGGATTTGTGTAGATTTCATGGAGAGGCGATCCTTTCTTCCTAACCTAATCCTGATTTGCCTTATTCCTGGAATCCTTCAGAGTTTGGGAGTCCACCAGAACTGGGACCCCATCTTCTACAGTATAAAGAGCCTACTGAGTATAGGGTAGGGGAACTCCAAAGACTAGCAGGACATGTGTCCCCTGACCCGGAAAAGGGAGCCTAATTTTTCTGGAAAAAAGATAATGACTGCTTACTGACCTATTCCAGGGTCCTCTACCATTAAGCCCTTGACCAGGATCTAACCCTTTCCCCACAGACATCATGAAAGATGTTACCAGTCCCCAGATGTCCAGTTCCTATTACCACCATTATCCCTTCTTTCTGAGTTCTGTCCATTATTTGTTTCAAGTTGTCCAGTCTGATTCCCAGAGCCTTACTGCCAGAGACAGGGAGGGGAGCAGAGGAAAAGCAGAGCATGATAGGAAACAGCCACCTTTTAAGTTCAGTCGCATACGCGATATCCCTGAAGCTCTGCTACCTAAGACACAGGTTCTCGGGCTGTCCCCTGGGATGCTGTGGTTCCCCCCTTGAAGCCCTCTTCACTCTCACCCGAAAGGACATTTCCACGTTCTCCCCTCCCCAGATCTCCATCTGATTATCATAGGTACCGATGTGTTCAAAGTAGGACTTGGAGATGGAGAAGAGGCCACCAGCAAACGTCGGGGATCTGGAGAGACAGAGGGAGAATATGTGTATCTTCTGGGGGAAAGAGGAGTGGGAACCTGGTGTGGAAAGCTGTGGACTCACTGCTAACACCCACAACTGACCCCAACCGCTTTCCCGGGATGTGCAGCCCCTCTTCTACTAACCTATTCATTTAGCAAATGTTTATTGAGCTATTATTATGTCCTCTTCACCTCTGGGGACCAGGCTAAGGATAGGTATAATTATCATTACTCTATTCTAAAAAGCACCCACTTATCCATTCAACCAAGGATGTTTGAACATCAGCCACCAGGGCCTGTGTTACAGGTTAGGCCTTCAGAGCTAAGACAGATCCCATCTTCTGAGAGCTCAGTCTAGTAGCAGAGGGTAAGCTACTGCCATCGTTTGCTTTTTGGCAGCAAAGTTCCTGGAGCATAGTAGATAGGTTATTAGAAGCTGTGTGCAATTGCTTTTGGAAATAGGATTCAAACCATGAATGAATGAATATTATGGGCTGGATTGACTCCATTCTCTTTCAGGGTCCTTGGCCTTTCAGGGACTAGAAAGGCACAGTTTTAGTAGAGGCCTAGCCCTGGTGCTTAATACTGCATGAGAAACTTTAGCTTTGGGGAAAAGTCGCCAGCTGCTTTGAAAAGAAACTGATAAGAGGTGCTCCCTGAAACAGAGTAGGAAGTGAGATGACATCAAGTTCGACTTGCATGAAAGGGAGCATTTGGAGGTTACAAAAAGATCCTGGATTTCAGACAAAAGCAGGGAGACATAGACCCATATGAAGATAAATTGACAAAAACACCTCATTATTAGAATTTAGATACCACGTTGCTCATAAGAGGGGCTGGACTAAGGGTTGAAGGTGGGGGTAGGGGCCAGGGGAGACAGGGGCAGACTATCAGATACATAATCAGTAGCTGCTGGCAGTTGCGTGAGAGCCAGGCTCGGTGGATGGGGCTTTGCTGCCCCCTTCTGTTGCTTCTTCATGCAGTACAAACAGGCAGAAAGATACTGACATATTTTCTGTAAGCCCAGAACCAATCAGTGTGCTTTACGCACAACAGGGGCACAATCAGTGTTAATTGGACGGATCTGTCAAGATGACTACACAGGAGCTTGACCTTGGTGTTACCTTGTGGCTGCTCCTGTCGCCCCCAAAGTTGACTCCTGCAGCTGATTTCTGAGAGGAATTTCAGTTAGGAAACCCTCATGCTCATGCAGGCTTTCTGTAATGGGTTCTGGCCTCTCCCTGGGGTTCTAAGCCAGCCCCAGTAATGCCCAGAAAGGCTTAGAGGGTCCTGGGACTCTGGATTAGCACTTGAGAGCTAACCTGCTCCTTCTGAGGGTCTCCCTCACTTGGGCCTGTCTCTTGGCTTTGTGAGGTCTCTTTGACCGAGAAGCTACTAAGAAATTACTTCTGAGGAGAAACTCTACACAGGGATCTTCACTGCAGACTCAGAACCAAGAGGCAACACCCTATATTTCCTGGCCTAGTTCTTCGGACTCTCTGGATCCTTCACCTCTCCTTTCAGCCTCCTGTTAGCTTTCACAGTGGAGAATGGGAGGGTACTGCCAGCAGGCCTCCTACTGGGGTACTATGCATAGTGCCCAGGGCAGGCCATGCATGCCACCAGGGACCAGCTTCATTCCTCAAACACTGGACCAGTGAGCAAATTCATTCCTCAAACACTGGATCTTTATCTTCCAGTTGTATGGTCCTTGGACATCGGAGCCAGGGATGTCAGTGATGGGTGGTAGCCAGGTGCCCTGTCCCTGACTGTGCCACTGTGTGCCTGGCCTCCAGCTTGGGGGAGTGGGGCTTTGTTGCTGTAGACACCAAACAAAAGACATCTATGAAACAAGCAGATGGTCGATAGGGTGTTTCAATTTCTTTTCTTGCCGTTTCTTTTCCTGTCTCCTCCTTCTGTTGTTTCTTCTCCTCCTTCTAATACATACAGAGCATCTGGCTGTTTGGGATCCATGGGATTCCCTTCTGTGGCATCCACCCGGGCCTTTCTACTGAGACTCTAGGCCACATCTCTTAGGATTTGGGCATGCAGAGGGCGAGTAACTCCAACCCTCTCTTCCTTTCAAGACTTCCCTCTTATCTTTGCTCACTGTATCCCCAACCTCTGCTTCCCTCCATCTCTGAAATATATTCAGTTGACCCTGAAGTTTCCTGGCCAGTATAGAAAAAACAATGGCAGATAATCCAGAATCACAGGATACTCTAAAAGTCACTCCCCAATTCAATCTGACTTAGACATCTGTGAAAATAAACTTGTGTTTTCTAACAACACCAATAGGCAGTTGGAGAGAGAAGGACAGGGTGGGTGTATGAGGGGAAGGTAAACTCAGGCGCGAGTTAAACAACGGGTAAACTTTCACGTATCCACCCCACAGCTCAGGGGTTGGCAAACTATGGCCTGAGGGCCAAATCTGGCTTGGCTTTATAAGGCTCTGGGGCAAAGAATGTTTTTACATTTTTAAAGGATTGTTTAAAAGTTACACAACTAAGGAATAATATGCAACAGACTGTATGTAGCTGACAAACCTGAAATATTTACCATTTGGCCCTTTATAGAAAAAGTTCAGGGCAACTGCAACAAACTGCAAACTGCAGCACACTCACTTGTCTGTGTTCTTGTAACATGTTCTGTCTTTTCAAAGATAGTGACCAGGGAGCACATGTCATCTCCTCTTATTACAATGGCTATTCAAAAATGGCCTCTACCCGCCATCTCTCAGAGCCTCTTCAAGCACCAGTCATGTCTTCTTATGTGCAGGGAGGAATAAATGAAATAAAGATTGTAAAGCCCTTAGTCCAGTGCCTGGCACACAATAAGTGGTGGATAAGAATGCCAATATAGTGCCATGGTTAGGAGCACGGGCTTTGGGTCAGACAGGCCAGGATGGGTATCCTTGTTCCACCATTTGTTAATTGCATAATCTGAGGCCAATTGTTTATCACTAGGAACCTCAGTGTTCTTACCTGTAAAACAGGCTAATCATAGAGAGGAGGATTAAATAAAATACGTCAAGTGCTTAATAGAGCACCTAATAAATGTTGACCTGAGATGGCACGGGTCCCTAGAACTGGGTGGGTCTAGGGCCACGGAGCTTGGGCTGGGGGATCACCCGGCTGTGGTCCTTACTTGATAGGGTAGGTCTCATCCTTACGTCTCTGCTTTTCATGTTCAGGCAGAGTTTCCCAGCCGAAGGTCAGGCTCCAGTCAAAGTTGCCACGGCTATGGACTCTGCCTCTCTGTATGGGCTTGGAAAACTCAAAAGTGTTAAGGTCAATGGTGACGATGTCCGGGCTCACCACCGCCGTCTTGTCTTCTGTGATGCGAGCCAGGAGGGGTTCCAGCCAGCCATGGAAGCACTCACCTGTAGGCCCAGACCAGGAGACAGCTGTCAGGGTCCTGCTCACAGCTGAGCCTAAGCCTCATGCCAGCAAGGAGACCCAGGAGGATGAGAGAACCCTCCATCCAATTCCTAGTTATAGAAAGAGCAACAGAGGCAGGCTCTACAGCTGTTGAGAGCATAGAGAGATCTGAGAACTTTCTACCTCCCCTTCTCCCCACCTAAAGATGGAAGCAGCTTTGGAGAGGAGAATTGAGGTCTCGGGGTTGTAACATGGTCAAATCGAATGATCCAAAAGCGCAGGGAAGGGCCTGAATGGGTGTCTTAAGGTTCCTGGCCTATCCAGTGAATCAGCCCTCCCCACCCAAGTGTGGATTTCAGAAGCGGGTGTCCCTTCTCTCAGGTGTATCTGCATCCCAAGCTTCAGCTCCAATTGTAGAATAATAATCCCTTTCATTTGTCTAGCCCTTTGAGATTTTAACTGAATTGTATGTATTATTTTATTTGGCCTTCAGAGTAATAATTCTGTTGGTAAGTAAGTCTGGTATTTTCATTCCAATCTTACAAATAAGGAAACTGAGGTTCGGCTAGTGGAAGAGCCAGAATGCAAACCTGTCTTCTGACTCCCGAGTCTAGGGCTTTTGCCTATACATATCACTGCTTTTAGGAAACAGTTTTGTTTTTTTTTCCCTCCATGACAATAGTAGGAAGTGTTTTGGTTTGCAGCAAGAGGGATGCCTTCCTGGTTACAGGAGAGCTCCACACAAACCAGTTCCCAGTAATAGGAGGCCTCTGGGAGGCTGAGTTCAGAACAAGGTACAAGATTAAGGGAGAGGAGAGAGAGGAATGATACTCCAGAGCACACTCCCAGCAATTGTGGGGTCACCAATTGTTTTAGGGTGGTGTGTGCCTCCTGATAAAACATCCTTAGGATTGGGTGAGAAAGGGCTAGAAGAAGCTGGAGCAAGTTCCAAGTGTCCTTCACTCCTGGAACAGCAGAGCAGGAAAGGCCCTTGGTGATGCTGTGGTCACAGCTCTTCATTCTGCCAGGGATGGGTTGGACCTCCCTACACCCAGGCTTCCTGGGTGCCAGGCCAGCACTCTTTTACTCACAGTGGGCATCCAGGAAGGTGAGCACCTCTGCCTGTGCCACGCTGGCTCCCAGCAGTCGGGCAGTGATCAACCCCTTCCGTTCCTCCTGCCGCACCACCCTCACAATCTGCAGCTGCTTCACGTACTGCTCCAGCTGCTCCTTTAAGTACTCTGGAAGGGACAGTGTCATTGTTGTCAGTTCGCCACTTTGTTGCAAATCTAACCCCTGTGGGCAAGAAGCCCTGGCACTCTCAGGCCCCCAGCAAGCCTGAATTTTTAACCCTTTCACACCGAAGGCACTAAGCAATTCCATGGAAGCTGAAAGTGGGAAGGGAGTGAGAGGAAGAAGTCAAATGGGTGGCCAGGTATACTCTGCCACCCCAACCCCACCTTGTCAGGACACTGGCTCTGCAGTGTTCATCCTGTGCCTGTTTACCTAGGCACCTTCTCTAATGTCTGAGACAGGACCTCAGAGTTGTGTTTTTTGGTCTCAAATCAATTGTAAACTTCCGACAAAGGCTCCCAAGATGCCTCTGTTGGTCTCTGCACCCTCGGCCGCCATCTTTCAGAGCTGCGATTCCAGTCCCTTCTTTTTTCCATATCTGGTGGTTGTGGCAGTTGTTTCTTGCTGTCTGATTCCCTGTCTCCCAGGCTCTTCAGAATAAGTTTGCCAGGTAGAACACACACAAATGCTGATTTCTTGCTTGCTGGATCGACAGCAAGTAATCTTACTCTAATCCTCTTTATTACCTCCTCTGCATGTGGAATTCTTTAGGAAGATGAAAAGATGCCAAGCAGCTTTTTAATTAAAAAATATGTACCAAGTGCCTACCATGGGCCAGGTACAGTGGTAAGCCTGGCCACCCAGGGAACAGGTGATCGGTGACCTGCCAGAGTTAGTGCAGCATGGGGAGAGCCTGCATGGGTAACAATATTCTGAATTTGGGGATGGGGGTGGGGAAAGCTTTTTGGAGGGAGGGGTATCTCTGCTGAGATCTTCAGTTCCTTCTGAGTGGGGGGTCTTACTTCAAGACTCTTATTCAGTCTGAAATCCTCAGAAGATTAAAAATAGCTCTATTCTGAAGCAATCCATCTTGAAACATATTCCAAATCTTACTTATGTTTTATTAACTGCTATTTTAGTTTATCTATGCCACTGTTCTGTTTCTGACTATGCAGAGTGGAGTTGCCTATAGTTTCAGAAGTGGAGGTGGAGGGCAGATGTGACGGATGGGTGTGTTCTTTCTCTTTCATGCTGTGGGATCAGCCCAGTGCTTAGACCTTGCTCTGAACACAGTGCTATACAAACTATGGGGCCTGAAATCAATTGTGTGTGTGTGATCTCTCTCTCTCTCTCTCTCTCTCTCTCTCTCTCTCTCTCTCTCTCACAGACACACACACACACACACACATATACACTGTGCCCAAATACTTAGCATCTACTATGTGCTAGTCTATGTGTTTTCATGTTGACTTTTGTATTTAATCTTCTCTATGAGGATTAACACACTATAAAATAGGGAGTATTGTCCCCAAAGTTTGTAAGTCAAAATTAGCCTCATTTGGCCTCTTCAGCCCAGCACTTACTTAGCAAACACCCACTAACTCATTGCCCAGGTACCAGACATTATCCTGGGCAGGGTGGGTCCTGGTCTGGGTCCTGCCTTCAAGTACCCATAATCCAACTATAATCTAGCCCTAGGTGCTGGCTCTAACAGGAAGGAAGGAGGAACCCCAACCAGGAGCCTCACCTTCTCAGCATGGTTGATGTATCCTCTGAGAACTTACTTAACTGTGCTCACAGGAAGTTCACGTGCTGGAGATAGCTCAGGGACAAAACATCATAGGAAGTGGGTTTTGTGGTAAGAGACTGTGAAGCACTAAGCTGTGAGCTTCAGGGGGACCTAAGCTGTATGAGGCCCTCTCCCACAACTTCCTTCCAGGCTCAGGTGGCTAAGCTGGACCTGGGGATTCTGAGCATGAGTGCAGGTGCTTCTCAGGGAGTAAGACAACTCTCCTAAGATGTCCCTCCTGACAGTTGTCCTGTCACACCCCTCGACCCAATGGACACATGCCCCAGAGCTGAGTACAGCAGGGCTGAGCGTGGAGATACAGACGAGCCCATCCATACTCTCTTATGTCCCCTCCTAATTTAGGTTTAACACCCCTCCACCCTAAAGTAGCTTCATTCCTCACAACGAGTCTATAAGACTCCTGTGACCTTTAACATATGTCTTACTCAGTCTCATCACTATGCAGACAGTTCTTCGGTCTCTTTTCCAAGCCTCGCCATTTTTACTTGGATGTCTAACACAACCACAAACCAAACATGCCTTAAACAGAACTCCAGATTTCCTCCCACACTTCATCCCCAGGCTCTCCCATGACAGTACATGGTACCTGCATCCCTCCAGCTGCTCTAACCTAAGAGTCGTGCTGGATTCTCCCCTTTTTCATCCTTTACAATTAGTTCGTCAGCAAGTACTGCCAGTTCTCTCTCCATCTCCATTGTCACCACAGGCAACAATGTCTTAACTGGTCTCCTGGCCGCTACTTTATACCACTCTTCCCAATCTTGATATAGCAGCCACAGTGGGCAGCAGAGTTATCTTGTAAAACTATAATCCAGATCATGTCACTACAGTGCCTTAAAATGGCACTTAAAAACAAATCCAAACAGTACGGTGGTTCCTCAAAAAAAAAAAAAAAAAATTTAAACATAGAATTACCACATGGTCCAGCAATTCCACTTCCGGGTATGTACCCAAAAGAATTGAAAGCAGGGTTTCAAACAAGTATTTGTATACCAATGGTGATAGCAGCAATATTTCATAATAGGCAAAATGTGGAAACAACCCCAGGGTCCACAGACAGATGAATGGATGAATAAACGTGGTATATAAGACAACGAAATATTCAGCTAATAACAAAGTGTTCCCCAAATGTTTCCTCCCTTGGGTTTCATACAGTGTCTTTCCTGACTTCAGGGCTGCCCCTTCCCTTCTCCCTTTGCCTGCTGGTCCCTTCCCTTCCCTTCCTATAGCACCCCCTTCCTGTCCAACCCCACCTCCTCACTCCTCTTCTCTCTGTGAGGAACTTACTCATTGAGGGTCCTGTTCAATTCTTGACTCTGGGACTCGTGCATGTGTCTGACTTCCTCCTATCCACCTAGCAAATTCTCACAGGAGGGAGGCCTAGCTTCTTACTTCCTTAGTCTCCCCCAGGGGCAGAGCTTTTGACATGGGGATGCTCCATTTGGAGCATAGAAGACTGACAGGCCTGGGATGGACAGTTTTCAGAATCTTGTGGAATGTGCCAGACTAAGAGTAGCAGCTGCCCTGGCTACACAGGAGTGAAATCTGTGCCCAGTGTTCAGACTCTGAGGTAGGTAAGAAAGAGTTCCCCAGTGGGTGACTGGGCCTCTTTCTCCCACCCTAGCATCAAATGTCTGTATACTCGTGGTCATAGAGCACTGCCAAGTGCCTGGATAGGAGCACAGAAAGCATGGACATTGTATTTCAGCAGAGACACAGCTCTTGTCTGTGTGTCTGTAATGAGAGCCAGTTAATCTGATCAAACAGTCAAGCATGTGGGAAATTTTATCTCACTGTGGACTGCAGAGATTTCTGACCATAGATCTGAGTTTTGTCCTTTCCTCCACTGAACTGAAAGTATCTTGAGAGTCCAAAAGCCCTAAAGGTGGGGTTGTTTATCCAAGGGTCCACAAGTTCCCTGGAATTAATTACATGCAAAAATATCAGTGTGCGCACATTGTTATGGCAATTCTTCACTATTCTAGGGAGCGGGACAAAGCTTTTTAACAGATTCTCAAAAGAAGCCGAGACTCAGAAAAATAAGAATGGCTGGTTTAGACTTTTCAGGCAGGTAATTCTGAAGATGCTGGAATTGATCCTAAGACAGAGTCCAAAGCAACAAGGGAGAGATGACCAGAGACATGCCTGCTAGGGGCAGGCCCTTTGGAGGGGCTGCTAAGGAGCTACTGCAAAGTCCACTCTACTAGGCATAGGCTGCTGTGCCCTTCAGATGCTGCCTGTGCTAGTCTGGTATTATGCCACTTTTCTAGCCTGGTCAGAGGAGTTGCCCAACTGGGTATTTGTACTTTATGGACTCACAAAATTCTGGATCACAAGTAGAAACAGTTTAGAATGCCCACCCTATGTGATTCAAGGGAAGAAGCTTCTGAGGGGTGGGTAGCATAGGTGTTGGAGAAGGGTGACCAGAGAGCCAGTTTGAGAGGAAAGGCAGCTGATGTACCTGCTCCCATTCCATTTTATTGCTAAGAGGCCATTCTCAAGCTTCTCCCATCTCTGCCAAATTCTTTGGCTCTCCTTTTCCAGAAGCCTAATCATATGTTCCTGTCTGCCAGACTCTTGCATTTTCTCCTTGATACTTGTTTGCCTTTACTTTGTAAGTGCTGCTAGATGTCTGTCCTCCCTGGGGAAATATGAACTCCCTAAAGAAATGGACTCAACAGTGCTCACACTCAGCTCCTCCTTCTACTGCCTTCTCCAGCCCTAGTTCACTTTTTAGCATCACCCCTAATCTAGAAAGCAGAAAGGAGGATGGGGGAAGGTCAGGAGAGGTAGCAGCTCTACTGGAGTAGCCCCAGGGCATATACTGGGAAGTGTGGTGTCAGTTCCTGTGCTCAATATGGGTGCACGGGCATAAGAGGCCAACCTGGGAGAGCCCCAGACACTCCTGGAGACTCCCAGCCTACTGATGATGCATCAGTCCCATAGCCCCTTTCCTAGTTCTCACCCTATCATCTCACTCTTAAGGGATTATAAGAACTTCCTCTCTGGACTCAGGGTCCTCTGTCCTTCCTGACAATGAATGGCCCCCACCTCAAACTGCCATCCTTTTGAGAGAAGTTCACTCTCCAGCTTAAACACCTTCAATCACTCATTTTTTTTTTTCAGATAAATTCTTTAACATGGCATGAATTTCAATTCAATATCTTTTTAGAGTCATTTCCTACAACAAAGCTAAGCATCAGCCACATCAAACCTCTCAATTTTTCACAAACACATCTTTGTCTCTAGGACTCTGTCTATGCCATTCTCTCTTCTGGGGATGCGTTCCAACGCCTCTTCTCTCCCTAGACACTCATGCTTTCAGGTCCAGCTCCAATCTGGCTTTCACTGTGGACCACCGCAGCCATACCACGCAGAAATAACACCTCTTGATTGCATATTCCCAGAGCGCATTGTTCCCGTACAAAAAATAAACTGAACCTAATGGTACGGGGCTCTTACTCCATGCTAACCACTGTGTCACATGAATTATCTCATTTACCACCTACCCTCTGATCCTTCGTCCACCATGTGAGGGAGTCAATTGTCTTCATTTTTAGTAGAGAGAACTGAGGCTCAGAGGGGCTAAGTATCTTGCCCAAGATCACAGAGTTAGGAAGAGGTAGAACTGGGATCTGAATTCCCGGGTATTGGTCTCTCTAGTCCATGCCCTTTCACATCCATTAGGGGTGTGTTATGGGACACACCGCTGTGGTTGGTGTTGTAGGGGGGCATCTGACACATGAGGGTCGTTAGCCTTTTCAGGGCAAAATATATCTCATTTATTATTTGTTATGGTATCTCCTATGCCTAGGTCAGTGCCAGGCACAGAATACTCTGTAGATATTTGTGGGATTGCTTTAAAGAGTGAGGTAGAATTTTGGTGAGGAACCTCACTTGCCTATTGAGAACTATAGCAAAGAGGGCTTCTGAAGTGGAATCTTTCCAGAGCAGAAGAGGGGTGTAGCAGGTAGGCAATGCTCTGACCTCTCCCGGCTTTTCTGATTTGGGCTGGGCTGGGTGGCTCTAAAGGAGTCTCAGAACTTAAAGCTTAGAACTTCTAAGCTCCTGGAGCTTTTGCGGGGTGAAGTCCAGGCTCTAGGAATGTGATCTTCCTACTTCCTGTCTCCCATCTTCGTGTCCCTCACCTGCCTTCTCCCTGCTCCTGGCCTTTATGATGGGCTGCGATGCCAGGCAGCAGGCATCGCAGGGTACCTGCTCCCTCAAGAGAACCTGCCCTCATTCCCAGAGTACCAAGGGAGATGCTGGCCCCCTCTTCAGTGCCCCCTCC